GGCCATCCATTTATCAAAGAATTGGTCAGTGAAAACCTTAGGAACAGCAGTGAAACACTGTCTGATATATATACCTAAGGCATTTGACTGCTAACCAGAAGGTTGGCAGTTCAAACCCACCAGCCATTCCTTAGAAGGAAGACTGGGCAATCTACTTCCGTAGAGATACCACTTTGGAAACCTAAGAAGGGGTTGCTATGGTTTGGAACCGACTCGACAGTGAGTTTGGTTTTTGGTTTTGTTTATTTTCTTTAATAACCATCCTCTCATTTTGATTATGTGCGCAGCTCCTGTGTAGCTTTGTAAATGCTGTGAAGCCAGGCAGTGTATCTTACTCATCTTTGTTTCCCGTGGTTGCAACACAATACTGAGAAAATATTTGTTGAATTTAATAGTTTAATCTGTAGGTCATCCAATACATAATGTTTTTATATGTAGTAGATAACTAATTCTAATTAGGTGACTAGTTTCACCAGAACTGCTTTTCTGTATACACTAAAGATTTACTGATTTTTGGTAGTGATTTAGTATTCCAGAAGACAAACCCAAATATATTATTCTCTGTGGTAATTCAATTCAAGAACTTGTCCAGTGGTATTTTTCAATAGTTTTTCCAAATACTTCTTTGGTGAAAGAAGTCTATTTTTATTTTGCCTTCTAATAATTTATCTTTTCACATATATTTTTACACATGAAAAGATTCATATTCTTGTTTTAATATTTTATTAAATATATTTCCAATTATCATTCAATATCATAAACACAGAAGACACATAAGCTTCAGAAAACACAATGAGCGTAAAGAAATCTTATATTTGACAATAGTCTGAAAGCATATAAGCTTTCCTTACTGTACTTAATAATTTATTTTTTGTGTTTATGGCTGTGTGTAAACACAAGTGTGAATGTAAATAATCATAGCTTCTCAAATAGAGTATCTAAGGCAAAGATGGAAACCATTTTTTATATATTGTCCTATAAGGGTATAGCATAATGTCGCACACATTTTAGTGCTTAGTAAGTTTAAGGTGAACTGAAGTTTGCTGCTGAGTTGAGTTTGCTTCCTGATTGTATAACTCATCTGTTTGAATAGAGCTTGGGGATTCTGTCATGGGACTCCACAGGAAACTTATATATAGTTTTGAAGTATATTTGAAATATTAATTTAGTCGACTATTTGTTGTGAAACTGGGTTTTCTGTCTTCCTTTTTTTTTTTTAGAAGAACAGTGTAGTTTTTAAAATTATAGTGTGTAATATTCATAGAATTTGGGGTTAGGCGTTGAGTTTGTTGTTGTTGTTAAGTGCCGTCGAGTCGTTTCCGACTCGTAGCGACCCCATGCACAGCAGAATGAAACACTGCCCGATCCCGCGCCAGCCCCACAATCCATGCTATACTCGAGCCCATCATCGCAGCCACTGTATCAATCCATCTCCCTGAAGGCCTCCCCCTCTTTCGTCGACCCTCCACCCTACCAAGCA